TTTTTTATTATTGAGACATAATTGACATATAACATGATATTAGTCAAAATGATTGGGTGATTGCATATATTGAGAAATGATCACCACAATAAGTCTAGTTAACATCCAACATCATACGTAGCTACAAAATTTTTTTTCTATGACCATTGTTCTTAAGCAACAAATGCCAAAGAGGCTACCTGCTTCCTCAGAGATGGGCCACTGAGCTGCACTGAGTGAGAATAAAGAATGTCTATAAGTCCACTTAAAGCTCCTTTGTTTGGGAATCCTGCATGTTTGACCTGTTTGAAATGTGTGTCTCCATAGCTAGATCTAGAAGAAATAGATCCCTTTATTTCCCAAATAAAAGTGGGAATTGGAGTTCACCATGGGTCCAAATTGGAACAACTGAATATTCCCACTTGGGCAAAAGGAGGTGCCCAGGAAGGTAATGCCTAAATAATGCTCGGCATCGCATCTGAAAAGGAATCGACTGCCAGTGAGACCCTCCACAGAGTCGATGTCTCTGGATGTCTGGATATTTTCATGCTCAAGTTTGGCAGATTCTTCAATAGTAGTATATGACAAAGACTGTTCTAAGCCCATCCAACCCTGCTTTCTTTTACTCCTGAACACACAGCTTGCCTACATTTCCCAGCCTCCCTTGCAGTTAGGTGAGACCCTGTGACTGAGTCTTGGCCAAAGAAATGAGGGCAGAAGTAATGGAGACTACTTCCAAGCCTGGGCCATAAAAACTAGTACAGTCCTCTCTATCTTCTCCCCTTTTCCCATCCATTAGCTGGATGGAGTAAACTTCCAGGACCTAGAGAAGGGCAGAGCGACAAGAGAAAAAAGGGCCTGGGTGCCTGAGTCACTGCATGGAGATCTGCCTGACCAGAAACATCAGCATATATGTTGCTGTACGAATGGGAAATACTCTTTTATTGCATTAAGCCACTTTGGGGACTGTTTGTTACAGTTGTTTGCCTACCCTGACTGTGAAGTCAGGGAATGTTCATTGCCCTTCCTCTCCCACCACAGGTGGAATATACTCCCCCACTCCACTGATGGTGGGTTTGGCCAATGGGATGTTAACAGACATGAAGTGACATGACATGCTTTTACACAAACTTCAACATTTCTACACTCTCTTGCACTACAGCCCTCTTGCTGTTTTGCCATCACCTTAGCAGAAACAAGCTCTAAATAAATCTTTGTCCAGAGGACGAGACAGCTGAGGAGCAAACCTGGATCCAACCAGCAGCTAGGAACCATGCCCAGCCTAGCCCAACCCAGCAGCAGTTGGCTACAGATGAATGAGCAAGAATAAATTATTGTTCTTTTAAGCAGCGTTTTGTGGTAGTTCGTTATACAGCATGTTGTGGCAATAGTTGACTGATACACTAATAAAATGTGAGTGTGGCCTACTAACAGAGCTGCCATACTAAGCTTCCACTTGATGCCTGCCTGTTCTTTAGCTCATTTAAGCTTTTATACCAAAGCTGTTTTACAGATGAAAAAACTGAGGTGCAGGAAAAGACTTGCCCAAGGTCACACAAGGAGTTTGGTATATCAAACTCCTAAGTTTATTTCCTCCTGCTCCAAACACACTGAGGGAATGTGAGAAAAGCAAATAAAACCCGGAAGGGACCACACAGAATTTAGGATGTTTCCGTCGAGTGCCACTTTAAAAAAGCTTGGTAAAACTCCTTAACACTTGAAAAAAGGAAAGTTCAGGACACATCAAACAATGACCAGCTTCACCCCCTGGATTGTTAATTTATGGAATTTATTATCTAAAGATGTTGCACAGGCTGAAAATACAAATTTTCTCAGAAAGATATAATTATACCACTTACAATGGGTTAATAAGAAAAACAAGGTTTGTAGGGATATCTTCAAGGTTAACTTCAAGGAGAAAATTGCACCCTCGGACATAGCACCACCGGAGTGCCCTCTCAGGACTGCCTGCTCCCACCACCGCCCTTCAGACAGTGCTTAAGGAGAACCCGACAGGACTCCTGCAGGAGCTGCCCAGCTCAGGGAAGGGAGACCACAACCAGAGAGCAACCGACCCCCAATCTGAGCAAAGAGCAATGGAACGCTATCTGCTTCTCCACCCCAAGTCTCTTCACCCCTGCTTGGATTCTTTTGGCGGGAGACCACGCAAGGGCTCGGCCTCCGGGAAGAAAGGAAAAGGGCGGAGGGAGGTTCTGGTGGGGCAAAGGCAAGAGACCTGAGGCTGAATAAAGGTGTCTCCTGCAAGCAGGGGCTGCTGCAGAGTGCGCGTGCACGCCCGCACACCCACACCCACAATTACACACACCCACAACTATACACACACACATCCCCCACACCCACAACTACACACACACACACACACACACACACACACACACACCTCCCCCGTTAGCCCACCCCACGCCCATTCTGCGGGTGAGCAGCGTGCAGCCCCAAAAGAAAACCGAGGACCCAGCACCCACCCTAGCGGCGCCTGCCGTCTCCACATGGGGTGCACGGCGATCGGGGTATACGGCGTGAAAGAGCCGCGGGCGCCGGAAGAGCCGCACCCAGCCCGGCGGGTAGCGGGCGGAGGGCGCGGCGGGAAGCGAGCGGCCCGCGCAGCGCCCGCCCCTGGCTGCCGGCACCGCCCCCGCTGCGGCGGGCGAGGGGCGGGGCGCGGCGCGATGTATATAAGGTGAGGGGCGGGCACCGCTCTTTTGTCTCTTGCTGCAGCGACGCGAGCGGTATCCAGGGTCCTCTGTTTCGAGCAAAGACCAAGGTGAGCGTTGTGCTGGGTGGGGAGGCCTTTCGGGGTGCGGTCTGAGCGGGGTCCCGGGCCAACGCGCCGCCACCCAGGCGCCCTTCCCAGACTCCGACGGGACGCCCGGAGGGCTGACCACACCCTGGGGCTGCAGAGAGGGTGCGGGACACCCCCGGGTCCTGGGCCTCGAGGCTGCTGGGAACGCCCCGCAGAAGCGCCACGTCCGGAGGCGCGGGCGGGGAGCGGAAAGGGGTTCGCCGGCCCCTGGTCCCGGCCAATCGCCTCCGTTTGCCCGCTAGGATTGTTTTAAGAAAATGGCAGACAAGCCCGACATGGGGGAAATCGCCAGCTTCGATAAGGCCAAACTGAAGAAGACGGAGACGCAGGAGAAGAATACCCTGCCGACCAAAGAGAGTGAGTGTCCCCCCCCACCCCCGCCTCGGGCTCCGCGGGCCGCAGCCCAGCTCCCCACCCCTCCCTTCACCCCACCCTGCGGATGCCTACACCCCGGGCGGTCCCGGGCCCCGTTTCTGTTACACAAAGCGCCTGTCTCCCCAGCCCCAAGCCACTTGCTTAATCCCCAGACCGCGTGGGTCCTCACCCACTCCAGGTTTGTAAGCTCCTCGGTTTGCGGGGTTGCAAGGCTTGCTCACCCCCACCCCACCCCTCAATATCCACGTACTGTTCTCCACCAGCCATTGAGCAGGAGAAACGGAGTGAAATTTCTTAAGAACCTGGAGGACTCCCCACCCCCGTCATCTTGGAGACTCCAGTCGTGATGTGGAGAAGGAGCCACCTGCAAGATGGACACGAGCGACAAGCTGCACTGTGAACCCAGGCACTCCACGCCCACGCCACCGGTCTGTGGGTCTCTGAGGGGACCTCCCCCCAATCGGACTGCCAAATTCTCCGGTTTGCCCTGGGATATTGTAGAAAATTATTTGTATGATTAATGAAAATAAAACACACCTCGTGGCATGTCTGGCGTGGTCTGAGTCTTAGTTGGGTATGCGTGGGCAGTGCAACCGCAGCAAGGCCCCAGGCGCAGGATTCGGAGTTCCTGCTACAGGGAGGGGAGGGGGCCTCAGATGGGCTGGCTTGGCAGGACCGTTTTTAATTTTTACCTGCTTCTCCATAAGATCTCATGATTATTAGCTGCTTAGCTCTTCTAATGCAATCTGTGTAAAATAGAACCCCACTTTGTCATTCCTGTAAGCTGTTTTGAAAAATGCATTTTCAGAAGAGCAGGATTTATATTTGATGAGCTTTCATAATCCCACTGTTTCTCTGGCCTCAAAGCTCAGATTCACACCTGGAGAGAACAGTGATTTAAAGTCTGAGAAGAAAAGGGGAAGAGACTAAACCTGGAATGTTGGAATTGGGCGAGGTCACAGAGTCCCCAAGAGGCTTTCCCTTGGAACTTAAAGAGGAGGCATTAAAACAAAAACAGGCGGGATCCAGAGGAATATCAGAACTAGAGCAACCAACATCTGAAAGAGGAGCTGTGGCCCCACAGCCTAGCTTTTAACCCTAGCTCAGAACCTTGCACAAAAGCGTTAGCCATTAGAGGAAGTGCGGGGCTGAGCCACCTCCTGTGCTGTCATCAACCGGAAGGGTGGGAGTGTGGAGGGAGGGGGCGGCCCTTCCCTGGTAGCAGAGCCCAGCAGGGTCACTGGATCCACAGGGAAGAGGGGGACGGCCCAGAGGGGCCTAGCCTAGGGGAAGGGGAGTGCCTGGCGCTGCAGTGCATACTGAAGCAGAGGAAACGCTTGTGATTCCAGGGGTGGGTTTTCCTTGTAAGGAGGAAGGAGCAGATACTGATTTGTTACAGATTTTTTTTACCGAAAGGGGCTGGGCACGGTGAAGGTAATTTGAATGAGGTGCAGTCCCTGTCCACAGCTACTTAAAATCCAGTGGGTGAGACTGGCAGCCACAGCAGATTAGAGCCTGAGGACACAGGCTGAAGGAGCCACTGCATTGGTTTGCATAAAGGAGTGAGCTGTGCTGTGGAGGGTGAGTGATGGGCCCAGGGTGAAGAAAGAAGGATGGGAAAGACAGGGAGGCTGCTGGGGAGGGACACTAACTTTTACTGAGTGTCTGCTATGAGCCAGGCACTGTGTGAGGAGCTTTAATTCTCAAACTATTAAGTCAGTGGCTGTTATCCCATTTTACAGATGGGGAAACTAAGGCTCAAAGAGACTAGGGATTTGCTAAAGTCAGTGAGTAGTGAAGCCAGAATTTGGGCCAAAGGTGTGCTTTTGGGGATCCTATAGCCCAATGTTTGGGACATCTGTTGTGTCAAACGTTTCATGAAGGTTCACTACTTCATATTTATAATTGACCCTGTTGGGTTCTGTTGTTCAGAGGTTAAAGAAAAAGAAACAGAAGAAATCACTAATGCCTTCAAACAGTAACAGCATGTTGGTGAGCAGGCTTTGGAGGAAGATAAAGCTGGGTAGGGGGCTTGTAATAAAATTATCAGCCTTTCTGACTCCATCTCGCTTAAGCCTGCCCAGTTCCCAGAGCATGTCGGTTAGCAGCTTCTGCTTAGTCCTGCACATAGGTATGCCAATCATTAAAGGAATCTAACCTGCAGCCTAGGAATTACTGAAACAACCTCCCTGCTCGAAACTACTTCCCCAAGGAGATAAGGGAGGTATGTACAAAAATAATGATTGTTTATCCAAAGATTTACAGAAACCTCGTGACTGGGACCACGGCAACTGGAGTTGGTTAACCAAAAGAGAAGTTTCACCATACCCCCTTGGACCCTTGCTGGCGTCTAGATGTCTACAGTCATCAATCACCTGACCTCAATCCCCTCCCGGTTCCCCCTTCCCCTGACATAAAATAAGCCAGAATTCTGCCCTCTCTCAAGATGGTTCCTTAAGACACTGGTCCACCATCTTCTTTGCTTGCTGGCTCTCCAAGTAAAATCACTTTCCTTGCCCCAACTCCTTGTCTCTTGACTTACTGGCTATCGTGAGCAGCTCGTACTTTTACTCAATTACAAGTTAAGTGTGTTGGTGTAGAGGAAGGATTGGGAGTGCCACTACAGTTTTCAATCTGATGGTCAAGAAGGGCTTGGGAGAAGGGGCCCTTGGAGCAAAGACCTAAAGAATAAAGACGGGGTTGGCCGAGTGGCTCAGATGGTTAAGAGTTGGCTTAAGAGCGCAAGCTCTGAGCAACAGGGCCACCGGTTTGATTCCCACATAGGCCAGTGACGCTGTGCCTGAGGTGAGCTGTCACTGAGCTGCCAACAGGTGGCAGGATGGCTGAGCTGGTGTAACAACAAGATTGCCTGTTCAGTGGTGGGCTACGCCCACCCGCAACTAAGACTGAACTCGGCACCTTGAGCTGAGCTGCCGCCCAGATGGCTCAGTGGATAGAGTGTGCGCTCTTAACAACAAGGCTGCTGGTTCGACTCCCACATGGGATGGTGGCTACGCCCACCTGCAACTAAGACTGAACTTGGCACCTTGAGCTTAGAGGCCACAAGCTGCCAACGGGAAGCCAGATGGCGACTGGTGCCCTCCACAACGAAGATTGAAGAATAACAACTTGGCTGTTCCCCTTTCCCAATTCTCCAACACTGTTCCCCTCCCTCAATTCCCCAATAAAATCTTTAAAAAAAAAGAATAAAGACTATGAGGAAGAGAACATGGACACCAGGAGACAGGAAGGAACAGGTGCAAGGCCTTGAGGTAAGAATGTGCTAGAGGCCGCTGAGGAAGAACAAAACACTGGAGTGGAGTTAGCAAGAAGTAGGGAGATGAGATGTGAGAGGGCAGGAGGTGGAGGAAGCAGATCTGAAGTCCTTGAAACTGTTGCAAGGTTGGTTTCTGAGGGGCTCTCCTTCCCTCTCCCCCCTCACCCCAAGGCCACTTCGTAGGCACCCCTGGTCCCACAGTGTCCTGCCTGGGCATACCACACCCAAGGCCTCTTCTAGACCCAGCCTCCTCTCCAGGGTTCCATCTGGGATGCAAATCCCAGGCTCTCTTTCCTCAGATCCTACAGACTGCTCAACCCCAGTGGGCTCACCCCTGAGAGCATCTCCAGAGCCCCATCTCCTTAGACCCCGGTACCCTCAGAAGATTCCTATGACTTTCTCACTCCCTTCCCTGGAAATCCTCTCTATTCTGAGGTCATGGGTGCTGATGAGAGTCTTGTTCTTCCTAAGAATTTAAGAAGACACAAGTCAGGAGGAGACTTAAGGGCACTTTCACTTTTCCTCTCTAAAACAAAGAGCCGATTGGATGAGGCCAGGGTAAGCTTGGGAAAGGGGACGTGGATAGGCGAGGGTCGTGTGTTATTTCAAAAATCGTATCATGCTACATTGGTTTATAAAGCAAGGCTGGCCTTCCCCAGCCCACCCCAGCTCCGGAGTTGCACGCAGGTGTGCACACCTAGACATCTCTGCCTGATGTTAAAATCCACAGAAGACAGGCCCAGAAGGCCAAGCATTCTTTGCCTCCCTCCTCCCTTGCTTATCCCACCATTTCTATCCCTTGCCACCTGGGAATACTGACATCCTCAGAAGAGAGTTGTACTGAAGTGTTGATTTATGCCCTTTCCCTCTTATCTAAGAATCCAGGAACCAATTAGTCCAATCACAAAATGACTGAGGCTTTCTCTGAAGCTAAATAAAATTGTAACATTTCTTTGTAAAGACGCCATGAATTTTTGTTTTCTTATTTCATTCCTAAGACAAGCTTTAACATTAGGCCTCTGTGTTGTGAATAGGGCTCAGGGCTTGGGACTTTTCACTGTCTTTCTTAGAGTGGAGCAGAGGGCTCAGAACTGCAGAGGGTCCCCCTCCCTGCACTCCACCTCCTATTCAATAAGCGCATGCCTGCGTAGTGCCTGGTTTGGATCAAGGGAAAACAGATGGAGCACACCTCAGGGAGCACATGGACAAGAGAAGGACCACCCAGCGTCTCTTCCCAACACTTCCCAATCACCCAGATGCTCTCCCACCCTTCCTCTCACCCTCAAACAGACACCTCCTCTCCTCAGACAGTATCAGGTGCTTCAGTGGACAGCCCTCCCTCATCTTCTCCAGTCATTTCCCCTGAATAAGAAAAACATGCTTGTGGTTCTCCTCTCTGCCCTCACTACACTCCTCAGATGTGCAGGAAAAGCTCTTCTGTTGCTCCTTTACTACCTCATTTTACTCACAGAAGATGCCACTTCAGGTCACCAAATACGTGGGTTTTCCACACCAAGCAATTATCTGATTCTCCAGACACCAACTGGATGTACTGCTTTGGAGAGAGATTTTACAGTCTCTGAATAAGAATTATAAATTAATTTTATGACCAACTAAATTTTATAATTTAAATTTATGAACAGAGAGACAATAAAGCAAGGCCATGATAAAGTGAGTGTCTCCAGCATTGAGTCCCGGGAAGGGTAGGATGAACTCGAAAGATATCACAGTTTAATAGAACCTGCGTCAGGCAAAACCCTGGAGCTACCACTAGTAGGAGTCTGAGTGGAAGTACAGGGTGGGAGAACAACAGCTGGGCTGGCCAGAATCAACAGGCTAGTTAGGGTCAGCCAAAGTAGAGAAGCTACAGTTATTAATCGATTCACTGCTTTCTCCATTTATTCAACCACAATTTATTAAGCATCTTCTAGGTCCTAGGCTAGGTAGTTGCTCAGGACGAACAAAATAGATTCTCCTGGACCTTATTCTCTCACAGGCAAGATGAACAAGTAACCTAGATTAATGACAAAACATGGGATCGTGGGACCGGCCGAGTGGCGCGTTGGTTAAGAACTGGCTTGGGATGCCAGAGGGCCCTGGTTCGGATCCCACATATGAGGGGCAGTCTGCAGCTAAGATGGTGAACGGCAGCTCGACCTGGGGCTGGGCTGCTGTGGGTCGCCAGCGATGGCATAGTCTGCAGCCCCTGTGGCAGTGGGTTGCCATAAGCTACCGTGTGTAGCCAGCAGCCAGTGTGAGCAGCCAGCAGCCGCCGTGAGCGGCCATCCAGAAGCCGGCGACTGATCTGCCTCACCCGGGAAGAGCGCAATGCTGGTGCCAAATTGGGCCAGTGAAGCAACATCCTCCACAACTAGACTGAAGAACAAAACGACAGCAACTTGTCTGTTCCCCTTCCCCCAATTCCCCAGCGCTGTTCTCCTCCTGGAATTCCCCAATAAAATCTTTAAACAAAAAACAAAACATGGGATCATGGAATTCTGTATTCTGATTTAAAGCTGAAAGGCCACTATCTAACCTTTAAACTCCCCAGGGAAATTCAAAACACTGAGCTCTTACCACTGAGAAATGGTCCCCTTGGCTTAGCCCTGGCTAAGAAAAACTCTCACTCCTGCACCAGTGCAACCCCAAGACCTTCCTCTGAGGCATCTGTGGCTAAAAAGAACCTATTCTTTGAGTCACTTTTTTTGTCCAAAATTATCTCCTGTCATACTGTCCCTTATTTTGTTTCCTGCTACTTGGATGCCAGGTGATTTGATCTGGCTTGTTCTTAGGAAAAAAATCAGTGAAGTACGTAATTGTATCGAGGATTCTTTGGTTTTTTAATTTTTTTAAATCTTACCCAACCCAACTTAAGCAAAAAAACACATTTTTTTACACATGTAAATGAGAAATCCAGAGAGTGCGCTTTGTTTCAGACATGACTGATGGAAATAGTCAAATGATGTCACAGGGACCTGGTTTCTCTTTCCCAATCTCTCAACTCTGCTTCTTCATACTCAGGCTGACCCTTCCCCATCATGGTGACAATACAGCTGCTACAGCTCCAGAATACATTCCTCACAGGTATAAAAACAGCAGAAAAGAGAGAACTTCTCTTCATCCAGTTCAAACAAAACCCTGGACCTAATGAGGTCTGAATGAGGTCAGGTGGCCATCCCTGACCCAGTCACATTGACCAGGACGATGTGTTAAACCTAGGTCATGTGTTACCCCTGGAGTGAAGGTGTGGGTCAGCCTCGCTAGACTCACAGGGACGTTGAGTGGAGGAGTAAATTTCTGAATGAAAATCAGGGACTGTTATTAAGAACAGGGCAAATGGGGCCGGCCGAGCGGCGCGTTGGTTAAGAGCTGGCTTGGGAC